TTTTGACTTCACAAAAGGAAAGTCACCTATTAAGTTTAGCATTTATATCTCAGTAGTGTAAGGCAGTATGTAGAAACTGATGTATAGTCAGTTCCTGCTGACTCCTGCTGGGTAAAGCATCTTTTCATCATATTGGAAGCCTTCTCACCATACCTTGGGAGGAACAGGGCATGGAGGATAGTGGCAAGGCCTTTCTTGAAGTAGTTACTTCATTTATCTGAATAAAAGGTTTTCAGATTTTTCTTTGTACAGGGCTCTGGGTTAGGTTCAGTGGGATATGGTATGGTGCTTCTAATACTCACTGCTTTGGAGCCGGTAGACTTTGAGTCCAAGTCTAGAACGGGCCAATTTGAGCTGGGTAGCCTTGCTCAGAGCTCCAAATTCCTCTTCTATGTGAGGGGTAGTACATAGCTTACAATGTCACTGAAAATGATTGTAATACACCTCTGAGTGATTGGTACTTATCATGTACACAGGAGATGATAGATGAGCCAGAGGAGACATCTTCAAGCCCACAGGAGGGTGACAGGAATTGTGGATGAGACATATGGCCAAGAGAAAGGTGTAGAGAAGGAGAGGGCAATCCTAAAAACATTAACAAGGTTTGGGCTGGGAATGTGGCTTAGTGGTAGAGTGCTTGCCTAGCATGTATGAAGCTCTGGGTTTGGGTCCTCAGTACCTTGTAAACAAAAAGCTGGAAGTGGTGCTGTGGCTCATGCCTATAATCCTAGCTACTCAGGAGCCTGAGATCTGAGGATCATGGTTCAAAGACAGCCTGGGCAGGAGTCTTGTGAGACTCTTATCTACAATTAACCACCAGAAAAGCGGAAGTGGAGCTGTGGCTCAAGAGGTAGAAGTGGTAGAGCACTTACCTTGAGCTGAAGAGCTCAGGGACTATGCCCAGGCCCTGAGTTTAAGCCCCAGGACTGGCAAAAAATAAAAAAAAAAAAAAATTAACAAGGGTCTTCTTAGCAGTTGAAGGGTCAATGTGAGTAGAAAAGTTCACATTGGAAGCATTTCAGGTCAGGCACCAGTGGTTCATGCCTGTAATCCTAGCTACTCTGGAGGCTGAGATCTGAAGATCACAATTCAAAGCCACCTTGGGCAAGAAAATCCATGAGACTCTTAGCTTCAATTAACAACTAAAAGCCAAAATGAAGCTGTGGCTTGAAGTGATAGAGTGCTAGTCTTGAGCATAAAAGCTTAGGGATAGTGTCCAGGCTCTCCTTGAGTTTAAGCCCCAGGACTGACAAAGGAGGGGAAAAAAAGGCATTTCAGTTTAACTTCAAGACTGCTTTAATTCTGTGGGAAGTTCAGACACGGTAAAGATGAAGTGATCTCGTGTTGCTGCTGCTGCATTTACACAAATGAATTGCTGCCAAGTTGTCAACAAACCTAATTTAAATATTACAGCCCAAGTATTATTTTTCATTTGGTAATCATCAAGATGACTGATGATAGACAGTATGTTAGGAAACAATCACTTTCATACCTGAATCCTGTTTGTCTTGGCTGAGCAGTATTAATATGAAAAAACTGTTTCATGGGATAGTACCTCCCCCCCCCCCCCCCCCCCCCCGTCGGTTGTGGGGCCTGAACTC